GAGCACCAGTTCCGAGGGCAGACAGCCGAATTGTTTAGTCATTATCGCACCGGCAATGCAAATGCGTAAGAAAAAGCATGTGTACTGACAGGCAATAATCACATCAACTATGTCTTTGCATGATAACTCCGATAGGGACTATTTATCTTGGGCATTCGATGGTGTAACTACCGCGTCTAAAAAACACTGCGTTCCCCTTGGCTCCATCGCTCCTATGTGCGACGGCAGGACTGTATTTTTAGGTCCTTTTCGTTATTCATTTACAAAAAAAAAAATTTCGTTTGCATTTTCAATAACGCGACTTTCAATTTTGTTCGTTAAATTTTGCCAATAAAAGGTGGAATTTCCTTTCTTCCCTTTATTTCGCCATGATAAGTTTGCATTGTCCTCAATTGGTAATAGTAGCCCGAGCAACAGGAGTTTATATCAATGGATTTAATTCTATTTCGTACATTGAAACAAATATAGGTTTCTTTAATTGAATATTGTTGACTACTTTCACCAAAATTAAATATGAATTTACATTCACTAACCAAGAATCAAATGTTAGACCACAAAACGCGTTAGACAGTAAGGCGGGAGGAAAATATATTTCGGGGTCCCCACAAGACAATTTTGCCGCTGCGACTGTCTCTGATGACGCCTTCCAACGAGAATCCGAAACCTCAAGCCAATAACGTATCTGCTCCAGCGATTACAATGCAACAGCAAAATTCCCACAGAACGCCTACGGCCTAGCAGAGTGGTGCTGTTACATAACGTCAGGTTTGTGAGGCTTTTCTGGTGAGACTTCAATCGGTTGCACATGCGTCAGTACGTAAATTCCATTAAATCACATTGGCATGCACTTCAACGGTACTCAACGGTTTTGCGTAATTTTTGCTCACTCCACCTGACGTTATTTCAGCCGACGATTCCTTAGCGTAAAACGTCGTCATGTCAGAGATGTAGACCTTAAATTAGCTACTGGAAATAATATTACACCTCTGATCGTCTTTAAGTTTAGACAACTTTCATAGAGAGATATACCAAAATTACATCAAGCTATACTATCACCTCAACTGTCTCACTTCTCGATATCTGATAAGCACTAAGGCCTTTTTGTCCGACCTTACTACCCCCTCTGATTTTTTGCTGAGAAAGCAGTTTCCTTGGTTGAGACCTTTTCATAGCCCTGACATAAAGGAGATCTTTAGGGACACAAGTTTGTCATGTATATCCAACCATCTCTTTAAAGACGTGTCCATCGTCAAAGTTGTTTATTTCATTTTATCTCATTTACTTTTGGTTTGACAAGCAGTGCACTTAAGCATGATGTCACAGTTTCATGCAGTCACCTTTGCTGACTTCATCTAACTTCGCCGATTTCCTAATCCCAATTATCTGTCCTGCCTTTGATTGCAGAAAGTCGCCGTAAAAGTAGTTTCCCAGGAATCAAAAGACGTCCTCACCGGATTCATGGAGGTGGCCGTAATGCTTGACTTAAATCACACAAATCTTGTCCGGCTGTGTGGCTGGGATTTTCAAAAGGAGAGTCTCTATATCATTACTGAACTAGTACCCGGTGAAACCCTAGTTGCTTACCTTCAAAGGGCAAAGAAAAAGGACCTGCGCAGTCTGGGCCTGGAGGACATAGTGCTGGGCATAGCAGAGGGTTTGCAATACCTGCAGGCCCGTATGTTAGTTCATCGAGATCTAGCTGCGCGAAATATATTTCTGGACAAACACAAGGACAATAATCCAAAGGTTGGCTTTTCGTTTCCTTTCTCTCACTGTGTTTGCATGTACTACATTTTGCTGCTTCTCATCGTCCATGTATTTGCGCTGCTGAATAGTGGAGTTATATTAACAAGCTCTCATCAGGCACAAAATAGTATAACTTACATAGATCACATTGTTCTCACCGGAATGAGTTGGTTTGTACGCTGACGTTTGCCAAAGCGTAAACTGACTTTATCCATCAGCAATCCAAAGTTGTGTCTGTATGTGTTGGCCATGGGCTGATAGATGTTTCTTCCGAATTGAGGCAAAGGTTCGCATCCCAGGTATGTGCATAGATTGAGA